CTCTCAGCTGTTTTATCATTAGTATCCACACTGGCGCCCCCAAAAAACACAGACTAACAGGACAACACGGTCCACCATGCCCACCAGCTGTTCATTTTAGACACCCCCCCTTTGGCTATATACCTCAGTCATCCCTGGAAAAAAACTTCCCTGGGGCACAGCCAAAAAAACATCCTGCCCTCCCCAGCACATTTTTTTCTGGAAAGTGAGACAGGAAATTACAGGTAGCCCCAAAACCACATACATAGACTTTATACATATATATAGGTTTATTTAAATTTCAACAATATAAAAAGTTCCCCCCCCCAACTTGTTAATAGGTTTACAAATATTTACAATAAATGCACACAGAAAAAACCCAACCCCAACTGGCCATCAGATAACAGGAAACATTTTTCCCACTTGAAAACCCCCAAGAAAATTCCCATCAATGTTGGCCCCCCCCTTTTTTTGGTAAAAGTTTAAATCCCCCCCATCCCCCCCTAATCCCCCCAGACCCGAGGCCCCAATGGGGTACTGCCCCCCTACTCAAGGAGAAACGGGTCTCACTCTTGGTTCAGGCTGGTTCCGAACTCCTGACCTGGAGCAATCCCAGCCTTGGCCTCCAGAGTGCTGATTACAGGTGTGAGCTGCCGCACCCGGCCAGCCCAAATGGAAATTTTCTAACTGAAAAATAATAGTAACTGAAATTTTCAGAACTCAGCAGATGGATTCAACAGCAGAATGAAGAGGACAGAAAACAATCACTGAGCTTGAAGGCAGAACAATAGAAATTACCCATTCTGAGCAACAGAGAAAATAGACTGGAAAAAATGAACAGAGCCTTAAGAGACTGTGGCACTATAACAAAAGATATAAATTTGTGTCATGAAAGTCTCAGGAGTTGAGAAAGAGGATGGGGCTGAAAAAGCATTTGAAGAAGTGATGACTGAAAATTTCTCAAATTTGGCAAACAACGGAAACCTGCAGATTAAAGAAGATGAATGTATCTCAAATAAGAAACCCAAAGAAATTCATACCAAGACACATCGTAGTCAGATTTTGGAAAACTGAAGACAAAATATAAAAATCTTTAAATCAGGCCGGGCGCGGTGGCTCACGGCCTGTAATCCTAGCTCTCTGGGAGGCCGAGGCGGGCGGATTGCTCGAGGTCAGGAGTTTGAAACCAGCCTGAGCAAGAGGGAGACCCCGTCTCTACTATAAATAGAAAGAAAGTAATTGGCCAATCTAATATATACAAAAAATTAGCCGGCATGGTGGCCAATGCCTGTAGTCCCAGCTACTTGGGAGGCTGAGGCAGGAGGATTGCTTGAGCCCAGGAGTTAGAGGTTGCTGTGAGCTAGGCTGACGCCACGGCACTCACTCTAGCCTCGGCAACAGAGTGAGACTCTGTCTCAAAAAAAAAAAAAAAAATCTTTAAATCAGTGAGTGATTTGAATGACAGTAGATTTCTGTTATCTCAGTAGAAATTATGGAGGCCAGAAGCAAGTGGTACAACATTTTTCTAGTACTGAAAGGAAAAAACCCTTTAAACCCAGAATTATATATGCAGTGAAATATCCTTCAAGAGTGAAGGGAATATTAACAGAATTTATCTTCAGCAGACCTAGCCTAAAATAATGGCTAAAGGAAGTTCTCTATAAAGAAAAGAAATAACGAAAGAAGTAATTTTGGAACATCAGAAAGGAAGAGTAGTTATAGTTAAACACAATAGACTTTCCCCTTCTTTTGAATTTTCTAAACTATGTTTGATGGTTAAAGCATGAATTATAATTAACACTGATTTTGTTTTCAGTGTATGTATTGTATATATTTAAGGCAATTATGTTATAAATGAAGGAGGGTCAGGGGACATAAAGGGACATAAGCTTTTTTTTTTTTTTTTTTTTTGCAGACAGAGTCCCGCTTTTTTGTCCAGGCTAGGAGCTGGAGTGCGTGCGTCAGCCTAGCCTCACAGTCAACCTCAAACTCCTGGGCTCGAGCAATCCTTCGCTGCCATCAGCCTCCCGATAGCTGGGAACTACAGGCCATGAGCCCCCATGCCCGGCTAATTTTTTTTATTAGATATATCAGTTGGCCAGATTAATTTGTTTCTATTTCAGTAGTAGAGACGGTGGTCTCGCTCTGTCTCAGGGTGGTTGAAACTCCTGACCTGAGCAATCCGCCCGCCTCGGGCCTCCCAAGAGCTAGGATACAGCCGTGAGCCACCGGCGCCGCCGGCCAGGGAATAAGCTTTTATATGTTCATATGGATGACTTGGGGGGGTGGGGGCGCGGGCGGGGGGGCGCCGGGGCTACAGCCACTTTTGAAAATAATTGTGCTGCCGTAAAAAAACTGAACATACCTTGACTATATCGCACAACATTTACATTCCTGGGCATTTGTCCAAGAGAAATGAAAATTTATATCTATACAAAAACCTGTATACAAATGTTCATAGCAGCTTTATTTATCATAATCAAAAACTGTTAAGAGCCCAAATATCCTATAGTAGTAGGTGAATGATTAAACAATAGTACATCTAGCATGGGATACTGCTCAGGGCTGACAAGAAACCAACTGTTGATACGTGGAGCAATTTGGATGGATCTCGGGTATTATGCTGAGTGCAAATAAGTCTCAAAAGGTCTCATACTATATGATTCCAATTGTATAACATTCTAAAAATGACAAATTTATAAAGAAAAAAATCAGTGGTTGCCAGCAGTTAGGGAAAGTGGGTGGAAGAGAGGTGAGTGTGAATATAAGGTGATAGCAGGAAGGGGAGGTCTTTGTGGTATAACAGTTCTGTGTCTTGATTTTGCTGGTGGTGGTTACATGAATCCACATTTGTGATAAAATGCCACATAAAAACTACACACAACATTGTGCCAGTGTCAATATCTGGGTTTTAGTTTGACCTTTAGTTACATAAGATATAACTATTGGGTGAAATTGGCCTAAAGAATACACGGGATCTTTCAACTATTTTTGCAATCTCCCTTGAATTGACAATTATTTCAAAATAAATAGTTTTTTTAAAAAGCATGAATTTTTGATAACATATCTCAAATGTGTTATGCTAAGTGAAAGAAGCCATATGCAAAAGGCTGCATACATATTGTGTGATTCCATTTATGTGACATGCAGGAAAAAGCAAAACTATCAGAGAGCATACCATTGCTCGTCTGGGATTAGGGATTGGGGATTAACTACAAAGGGGCCACATGATGGAATTTTCTGGGTCAGTGGAATGGTTCTGTATCTTGATGGCAGTGTTGGTTTTACAGCTGGATGCATTTATGAAAAATTATAGAACTATAAAAGTGAATTTTACTTTATGTGAATTAAAAAATAAAAAAGAGGACCAGTCATGGTGGCTCACACCTGTAATCCCAGCACTTTCAGAAGCTGAGGCAGGAGCATTGCTTGTGCCCAGGAGTTCCAGACCAGACTGAGCAATATAGCAAGACCCTGTCTTTACAAAAATGAGCTGGGCATGGTGACGTGTGCCTGTAGTCCCAGCTATGCAGGAGGCTGAGCCAGGAAGATTGCTTGAACCCAGAAGTTGAGGTTGCAGTGAACTTTGATGATGCCACTGCACTCTAGCCGGCCAACAAAGTGAGAGAGACCCTTTCTCAAAGAAAAAAACAAAAACAAAAAAAGAAACTTGTGCTGAAATATAAATACATTTTCTAAGAACTTACCTTTTGATAACTTTGACAATTTTCCAGAAATTTCTAACAAACGTGTGTTTTCTTTCCCAACAGGTGATGCTATGAGTGAAGAAGACATGCTTCAGGCAGCTGTGACCATGTCTTTAGAAACTGTTAGAAATAATTTGAAAACAGAAGGAAAAAAATAATACCTTTTAAAAATCATTTAGCTATTCATATTTTCCAACATTATCCTATGTGGTTACAACATAGGGTACATTTTGGTAATGTGTCAAATAGATGAGGAAATTAAGACTTTTAGGTGGTTTGCAAACAAAATGATGACAAAGTGGAAAAATGTGTCATTTGTAGGACTAAATAGTGATCCTTTAAATATTAAATAATGGTCCTTTCAATACTAGCCAAAGAGGCATTCAGCAATTAAAGAAATTTAAAATAGTTTTCTAAATGTTCCTTTTTTTTTTTTTGGAGTGTGCAATATCTAACATATCTAAAATTAGGGTATTTTGGGGGGTGTTTTTGCAGACCAACTAATTAGCTCTTGCTACAGAACTTTCTTCATATAGTTTGGTTTTCGTTTTCTGTCTTCTGTTATAGGTAATTTGGCTCACTTTCATCATCTGATAGTTGCCTTTATTTCTCATTAACCAAGCCTTTCAGAACGTGTCTCTTGTCTGTGTTAATAATATTTAATAGTAATGGTTCCAGAAGGACAGACGGTTCTTCCTCCAACTATGTATCGCGCTATTGAGTATTTTCTCATGTTATTTCCTCTGAGCACAATTTTTCTGCTACATGGTTTTCATTCTTTTTCTACAATTCTTTTGAAAGGTGGTAATCTTTTCTGAGGTTTTGTTTTAAGCCCTCTACGATGGGATCATTATTTTATGACTCTGGTGCATTCCTAAACTCTGAAAGCAGCCCTGTGCGAGTATCTGAGAATAAATGAGCATTTTTAAAAATGTGTGAGTACATGCTTTCCCAGATGCTTTATGAATGTCTTTTCGGTATGTTAGAACTTCACAGCTTTGTTGTAACCTTTTTCCTGCGCCTTATTATTTTCTTCTCCAACTGAGAAAAATAGGAGAAGCATAGTATGCAAGCAAGCTTCCTTCTGTTATAAAACTTAACATATACCCACCATGAATGTATGATAGATGAAATTTGGCCTTCAGTTTTAATAGCAGGGTTTTTTTTTGGTCATGGGACTGGAACTTTCTCTTCTATTTACAGTTGAGTCATGGAATATAGTTGTCTACGTCACATCTTTTAGTATGTATTGCTTGCCAGAGATGGTGATCTGGAACATGAAAATAATTTACTAGCAAAAATATATTTAACTTGCATCATGTTTAGGTAGCTTAAGAATTATAGAGTCACAGTCTTAATGGGTCTGTAAATAACAAAGTCTGTAGTTTTGGTAAATATTCTTTAATTGAGATGTACAGAGAGTTTGCTGTTGGGTCAGTATAGCAGTATGATTTTGATGAAAGCCATGTCTCTGTGAAATGGGGGTTTAAGATGCTGTTATTTGGTCTCCATCCCATTTTAAAGCCCTTTTGAATGTTGACTTGCTCATAAGCTAAAATTCAAGAAGAAATTTCAGCTGACAAGATGGATAATTAAAGTATGGTATGTTGCCCTACTGGTGTGTGGCTGCACACATTTTATCAGGGAAAGTTTTTTAATCCAGGATTTATTGCTAACTAACTGAAAAGAGATGAAAAAATATCTTTTATTTATGATTATGAAATAGCTTTTTCTTGGATAGAACAGTTTTTTTTGTGCCAATTAAAGTTTGCTGAAGTTTCCCTTACCCAAAATTGACAGGTTTTTTTTTTTTTTTTGAGACAGAGTCTCCCTTTGTTGCCTGGGCTAGAGTGCCCATGGCGTCAGCCTATGGGCACTCTATGGGCACAGCAATCTCAAACTCCTGGGCTCAAGTGATCCTGCTGCCTCAGCCTCCTGAGTAGCTGAGACTACAGGCATGTACCACCATGCCCGGCTAATGTTTTCTATATTTTTTTTTTTTTTTTTTTTTTGAGACAGAGTCTCGCTTTGTTGCCCAGGCTAGAGTGAGTGCCATGGCGTCAGCCTAGCTCACAGCAACCTCAAACTCCTGGGCTCAAGCATCCTCCTGCCTCAGCCTCCCAAGTAGCTGGGAGCTACAGGCATGCGCCACCATGCCCGGCTAATTTTTTTTTCTATATATATTAGTTGGCCAATTAATTTGTTTCTATTTATAGTAGAGACGGGGTCTCGCTCTTGCTCAGGGTGGTTCGAACTCCTAACCTGTGAGCCAATCCGCCCGCCTCGGCCTCCGCAGAGGCTAGGATTACAGCGTGAGCCACCACGCCGCGCTTGTTTTTTCTATATATATTTTTAATTGGCCAATTAATTTCTTTCTATTTATAGTAGACATGGGGTCTGTCTCTTGTTCAGGCTGGTTGCGAACTCCTGGCCTTGAGTGATCCACCCACCTCGGCCTCTCAAAGAGTGCTAGGATTACAGGCGTGAGCCACCACGCTTGGCTGACAGTTTTATTTTAAGATCTGAAGTTTTCTTTTAACAGTTGAAAATGTTTTAGTAGAGTAAGAACTGCAGAGGTTATAAGAGTTTAGTGTACTACTCCCTCAAAATTTACAAAGCGACATGTTTTAAGATTGAACATTTATGTAATTATTTCCAGTATGTTAGTCATATTTTCCATGGATATTTGACCATTACCTTTTCCCATTAAAAAGTTACATTAAACTTTTCATTCACTTGAATTGATGAGCTATCTAATATAAAAATGAGAAAACCAATATGCATTTAAAAGTTTTAACTTTAGAATTTATAAAGTTCATATATTATATGCCCTAGTTAAAAGCACTTAAGAAAAGATACTATGTTGATATTTAGTTGTTAGGGGCTTTTTAAAGCAGAGCTGAGCACACACTGGATATGTTTGAATGTGTTTAGTTTGTTTTGAAACTGTTATATTTGCACACAGATCCAGAATCACTAGTGAACTGCCATCTTGTTTGGATTGGCTTAAATTTAATTGAACTAAACTTTAGATTCCATTTCTTAATTGATCGGCCAGTATGAAAAGATGCCAATGCTTATAATCATAGTATCAAGAAATTTAAAAGTTATACAAAGATATATAGTTCACTCATCAAGAACTGCCATTTATTGTAGACCACCTGCAAGAAAGTCAGAAACAATGAAATTCACAAGAACTGTCCTGCTAAGTACTTTATAAAGATTTCCATTCTGTTTTACCAATTGGGAACACTTTTAATGTTTAATATTTAAACTATTGGTATCATTTTTCTAATGTATAATTTGTATTACTGGGATAAAATATGTACAGTGGTAATACTAGTGTTATAAAGTTTAAACAAACTTTGGAAATACCACTTTCATATTTTCAGATGTTATGGATTTAATAAGTAGTTATTTATGTTTTAAAAATTCAAAGTAGTTAATCTCTAATCTAAAACCATCAAGATACATTTTTTACATTTGTATGTAATTAACATACAACCATTTGAGTAACATAAATTGTTTGAAAAGGTTGCTGCAGGTAAACTCTATATTTAAACTTTTAAGATCTTGGCCAAATAATTTATAATTCACAGAATATTGTATTTAAGGAGGTGCTTTTTTTTCTTTTAAAGTTGATTTTTCTTAATTAATGCTTTATTCATGATGCCAAAGTTAATAAGGAAAAAAAATCTAAAACCAGTTGAGTATCATTAGAGGTAAAACTACCAGTAATCTATATTGTTTCATTTAATATCAAGTTCAATAAAATAAATTTTATTCTAGTCAGAGTCTAAATTATATCTTGAATGCCTACATGTTTGATACTATTCTTAAAATCATGCTAGTGCCAAGAATTACTAAATTTTTTAAACTGGCCCATTGGACCTGTATAGATCTGAAAAAGATTGATTCAGTGCATAATCAAAATATGATTTACAAATCTTAAGTTGAAAAACAAATATTGATATTTTAAATTCTTAGGATTCAATAATTAATATTGACCTCCTATGAAAAACTTTATCTGCCAGCTACCAGAAAAAAAGAAAGAAAGAAAATACTTTATCTGGAATTGAAGAGGCTTCAGGCCACTATTTTGAAAAATGAATTGTTTGTTGTATCTGGGCCCCACCAAGTATGGAGATATGATATATATATATAATATAACCTTAATTAAGAAAAACCAGATTAAATCAACCATTTCAGTAATGTAAATAATTTTTTATTTTTTCATATTCAAAATAAACACTTTCATTCCTGATTCCTTTATAACCAGCATCTTTTGCTAAAGAAATGAGCTGGCTTTGTATTGTTTTTTAAAGTCTTAAACATAATAAACATATTTTTGTGTTTTATTCTACTTTCATGAATGAAAAGATTTTGACATTGTTGGTTAATTCTCAAATTTTGATTTCTTTTTTATTTGAAGAAAACCTTTGCTGTTTTTACTTTTTCCAAAATGGTCTGGCATTTTAAGAATTAATGCTAACAACATAACTTCTAAATTTATGGTAATTGGCATGTTTAATAATAGTATACCTAAAAAAATGTTAAGACTGTAGATTCATAGACAAAGCAAGTGGGAAACATTAGTGAAATATTATGTGGACACTCCTGATTCGTTTAGGAAGCGCTCATTTGTCTCTTGCATAGTTCAAAGGTGAATGTTTCCTGGAACCTTTGTAATGTCTTTTTCTTTGAAAGAAGAAAATGTATATTTGAAATGTGATTATCTAATTTCTATAACACTGGACTATTACTAGGAATAACTTTTAAAAAATTACTCTTCTGTATAAATAAACTATTTGAAATTGAAGTACAGAAACCATGTGAAACAAAAAGCATTGTCTTTTGGCCATGATACAAGTGCACTATGGCAGTGCTGTTTGCTCAGGACCCAACTCTGCAGCCCTTCTGTGTGTGCTTCTCTCTCCTAATTCATTTGCTGTTAATACACACACAGGCCTTCCTGTCTGATCCTTAGAAAAGCCGGGCTTCCAAAGCAATGTTGAACACTGAGGATTCTATTGTTAATGTGGATGTTCAATGAGTTGTATTTTAAATAACAAAGATTATTAAATAAAGATGATGTTTGCTTTTCTATTTCTTTTTTGTGTTATTAATTCATAGCCTTGCCATTCAAGATATGGTTGGAGGACTAGCATCTGTGTCAAGCAAGAATTTTTCAGAAATGCAGTTTGGGGCCACACTCAGACCTACCAAATCAGAGCTGGTATTTTTAATAAGAGCTCCAGGAGCCTTGCATGCGGAGTGGAGTTTGAGAAGCACTGGTTTATGGATTGTTCTCAACCAGCTGCAGTGATGAATAAAAGAGGCCAGGAGAGCCCATTGATGTTCATTCTATCCCAGTGAACTGCTGCTGATGGGTCCGTTATTACTAGATCC